TCCCATCTGCAGCGAGTCACTGCCAGTTGCTCCGGAGCATCCTAAATTCCAACGTCTCTTCTTAGCAGCTGGGGCTTATCCAGCATCAGAAACACCTGTAGACTCCTAGCTGCCTTTTGGACAGCACGGGGGCTGTAAACAGAATGCTCTCTGCAGGACTTAACGAGTCTCATGCGAAGAAGTGTGAGGATGTGTTGTTTCTAAAGAAAATTCTCTTTGAACGACTTTTCAGTGGAAGGTGAATGTCAGTGGGAATGAGTGAAATATTTTCAATAATTTTGTTGTAAAATATACCTACCATTCAGTCTTCCCTTTGCCTTTTCTTTAGAGTCCAATCTCGATCCACATCCATTGCATTTGCCCCCTTACGATTATTTCCTTGCTGTGGAATGAAACTCCGGAGCTATGGAATGAGGCAACTAGATTTTTCCCATTCAGAGCCTTTCTGCATTCCTCGTATAGAAGAAGGGGAAGCAGAAGGAAAGATCGCCTTTCATTCCTACAGAAAGCGCCTGGTCGGAGGTTGCATAGAGACACATGTGTTTAATTTTTAGAGGGAGATGGCTTTACTTCATACTTCATATGGTATTAATAGGCCGGGCTTGGTGGCTCATGCCTGTAATCCTAGCGCTCTAGGGAGGCCGAGGCGGGCAGATTGTTTGAGCTGAGGAGTTCGAGACCAGCCTGAGCAAGAGTGAGACCATGTCTCTACTAAAAACATAGAAAGAAATTGGCTGGACAATATATATATATATAAAATTATCCAGGCATAGTGGTGCATGCCTGTAGTCCCAGCTACTCGGGAGGCTGAGGCAGGAGGATCACTTGAGCCCAGGAATGTGAGGTTGCTGTGAGGCTAGGCTAATGCCATGGCACTCTAGCCTGAGCAACAGAGTAAGACTCTGTCTCAAAAACAAAAACATATAGTATTCATATAAGTAGCCAATGACATAGCCTTTGGGATTGCTTCTTAGCCTCTTGGCTAAGATAAAATGTGGAGATCACTTTTGCAGCATCAGTCCTAACAGGATCTAACCTGTCACTCATGGGCAGTGGTCCTGGAAGTCTGAGGTAACCTGCACCAGGTAAGAACACAAAAACAGAACTCTGTGTTCAAAATGGGCCTTTATGGAACACTGACTTCACATGACTTCCAGAGAGCAAAGATTCAGTAAAAGTTACTCAGCCTCTCTGGTTCTTCTCTCTAAATCCAGAAGTTCTCTGCAGCCTAGACCAGCTCTGCCAGGTCAAGAGACTCTTGTTTCAACTCAGTTACCAGAATTTGATGAGGAACATATCAAGTCACATATAAGCTGTATTTACTTAAAGAATGAAACGCTCCTACAACACAAACAAAACTTTTAATCTTTGATTGAACATCTTTTTGAATAATGTCCTCCTGAATAATACTGCTGGCTCTCATCTGTGGCAACATGCACCAGCTATTGGCTATTTGGGTCTTGCATTCAGAGATTAAGGAGTAAGCCATTGAAGGTTGAGCTCTTTACTTGTGCTCAGCGTTGTGGTAAAAGCTCTATCAGCGCATCTTAGTTCTCACAAATACCTGGGGCACATATTCTAAGATATCTTGTTCGCCCTCAAATTTCTCTCTGTTCCCTTCAACTGCTTTGTCACTAGAATGTAAACTCTCTGGGTCTGGGGTCTTGTCTTATATCTCTAGTCTCAAGATCAAACTCTGAAACTTCTCTGAAACTCTGGATGGTTGAATGAACCACCTTTGAGATAGATAACTGTTACTGTGTATATCTGACAATTGACTGTTAAAGACAGAATGAGAATTCAAAACCTAATAATAATAATACTAGTATTAGGTTATTAGACAATGTTATCGAGTACCCATGAACCAAACTACGGTTAACGTTTTCTGCAATTAGATCATGCAGTCCTCCACGACAATCTTCCAAGGCAAGTCCTTCCACTTGTGCCGTTTTAGAGATTCTTTGTTGTGGAGGAAGTGACCTTCTTGCTTAAGGTCATGCAATTATTTAGGGACATGACTAGGATTTCAACCCAGATCTGTGATTTGGAGCAAGTGCTCTTAACCACTAGGCTATGCTGCCTTCCTAACCAATTTGTCAACTTTCTCAATTGCAGATAGTTTACTGCTAATAATTATTTCAAATGAATTTTATGATACCTCTTATTCTCCTACTGATCATATCTTATTATGTCCGGGAGGCAGCACAGAATGAGTGATCTGTAAGTATAGCATCAGGTGGAAAGCCGATCTTGTTTGGGTGCTTTGGAAATGCCAATACAACCAACACGTTGAATGAACAATCCACTTCCCCATTAGCCAGTCCAAATGCACATTTTACATTAGCTTTGTGTCTGTCACATTCTACTGTCTGATGCCAAAGTAAATCTACTAGTTTGCCAACCTTATCATTTGCTTCTGTTTTTTTTTTTTTTCCTGAACTTTCCCAGGTAATATCCAATTATACAGGAGCTGATTCTTTCTCTTCCCCACAGTATTAATAATCAAAATAGAATCCTCAGGCTCTAAGATAATTTCAACAGGCAGAGTAAGAATAAAGAATAAGAATGAAGACTGACAACAGAAGCATTCTTTTCTTACAAGTTTAATTCTCTATTAGTGCATTAACTCTCCACGCAAGTCCAAGAGGTAATTTTCACCTACAAGTAAAGCAACACATGCTAAATTAGGGCACTGGGTTCAAACAAAAACAGCAGAAAAATCTAACAGTTTAAATGAACCCCATTCCAATCTGTTTACATATTTTCTTTCAAAAGAATGGTATAATTGACTAATTGCTAATTTTGTAATTGATGCTGTGGGTTGATTTTACCTCCAATATTTACTGAAGTATATCCAAATTATAATGAATATCAGTGTAATTTTCATTTCTAAAAAGGGTAAAATACTTTAGAAAAAGTGAACCTAATTAAGATTAATTTTAAAGAAAAAACCCTGGCATTAAGAGAACATGAGACAGCAGGGGGGATATTTTAATTAGAAAAGGAGAACATACAACATCCTAATCATTTTGTATTTTCTTTGTCACTGAATTAAACTGGTTTTCATTGACAATGGTGAAATTATTGAAAATCAGTACAATCTGTCTTCAAAAAATTTTAAAGAAAATGTATAATGAAAATTAAAATATTTTAATATTTTTTTTTACTTAAATTCTGAATCTGTGTTGGTTTTAGCTTGGATAGCTTTGCATATAAAAATTGGAGAATGCTGAAATTTACAATAGCTAAAATGAGGATTCCCAGGTTTTCAATTCCTCTATTTGAATAATTATCAATAGACGAACAATAAGGCATAGCACAAATTGACATGGCAGATGCTTGCTCAGAAACTGTAAATCTAATGAATCTGATTTCAAGAGGGATTAGGAGCTTAATCATGCTTAGAGCTCTGGGGTTCTAGCCTAAATTCCCCAGGTTAGAATCCTGTTCTTGCTACAATGACCTTGTGCAATTTACTTACTTGCCCCGAGCCTCAGTTCCCACATCTGTAAAATGGGCTTGACCATTATTGTCAAAATGGATTTAGCAAAGGTGAAATGCATAACACAGAGTCTGGCACAGAGTGATTATATGTTATTTAACATTATCGGCATTATATTTCTATGAAAAAATAATCTGATCCCCAAATCGCCTTACTCTACCTGTCTTCCATGGATAGGAACTCTATCCAATTCTGTCTGTGAATATGGAATTCTTGGACTCCTATCTTTCTTCTTAGTAGAATGAAACCAAAGGAGAACTCTAAAACTACTGAAGCAAAGCCACCTTCAAAAGGATGTCTTTTGTCTCCCAATATTATACATTTTCCTGCTGGTAAGAATGATGGCTCTAAGCATTCCCCCTACATCATTTCATTTGCTAACTCCCAGCCCTTTACGTGGGTGGCGACAATAACTTGAGTTCACAGAAGAGGGCACTTCAGCACAGAAGAGTTCAGCATTTGCTGAAGATCTGACAACCGTATGAGGATGCTACTACCATGGTCCCCATTCTGCAGATCGGGAAATTGAGGCTTAGAGAAGATATGGAAATTGAGCAAGATCACATGGCCATAAATTGGTGAAGGTGCTATTCAGATCAAGGAAGTATGACTCAAAGCTGACCTTCCGATTCTGCCATGTCAATCAACCCTGCTTTCAGGAGAGAGGGCATTAGCACTGTTGCAGGGCTAGAATCTGTTTCTGCACATTCTCCAGGTTGTTTCCCTTCATTAGGGCATATTAATGCATGCATTAGAGCTGCTCTTGAATTTAAATTCTCTGTCTCTCTCTCTCCGTCTCTCTGTCTCTGTCTCTTTCTCTCTCTCTCTCTCACACACACACACACTCTCACCCCCAGATACAACCCCACACATAATTTCCCACTTAATTCTACTGCCTCTAAACAAATGTTTCAATTCTCACCCAAGAAAATAATGGAATTATTATTTTAGCTCTCATTTTCCTTGCATCAATAATAGCATTCAGAACTGTTTCCTAATTAAAAACTAATATTTTTCTAGCATATTTTTTCAAATATTTAGAATGTATCACAAGGATCATTTGAGAGCAAGTCTCTAACATTGACACCAATGAGAAAATCCATGGAGAACTTGATAAGTTGATATTGACTTTAAGATAATGCTTGTTAAAATTGTGGGAGTAACTAGTTAGGATCAAATAAAGGCAGAAGAATCTAGATATCGTAATTCTAGAAAGCGAATTTTCTGCTTCCCCTCCCTCCCCCTTCTCCCCACAGCTGAAATACCTTTAATATAGAGGTAATTGTCTCATATTGCTGATTTTACTGAGTCAATAGGGTATAAAATAATTTTTTTTAATTGTTTAAAGATCCTGTTAAAATATGAACAAGCTAAATGTTGGCTGAAAAATACAAGAAGTGTCAGGCTTAGCATAACTCTTATGATCTTCTCCTGTTTCCTCTGTAGATGTTCTTTTTGGACCATACTATAAATTATCATGCATGAACATTTGATTTTATTGTTATAAATTTTATTAGAATAATAGAAAATAATACATACAGATAACCATAGGATACGCACACAAGAATTTAAAGATAAACTTTATACTTTTCAATATGAAACAAAGTACATATCTCATGGAGATATATTGCTAGAAACAACAGGAAACGATAGAGCAATCATCTGGAAAATGAAAAGTATAGGAACATAGTATAGGAATTACTAAATAATAAAAAGGTACAACCCCATTACATGTAGCATAAAATACAGGTATTGGAGAAAGTATTTCCCCACTTTTTGACTGGGAATAGCAATGGTCATATGAAATCTACTAGTCATTCAGATTATTTCTAGATATATACAGTATATACAGACCTTACAGAGAAAGTTATAAATGTTTTTCTCCTTTATGTATAATGACTTTATCTTAAATCTAATTTCTAAATGTGAAGTCTCACTTTATGGCGATACCAGAATTTTGCTAATTTTTAATCTTTCTTGATGTCTGAACTGTTGGCTCCAAATTCTGATATCTTTGGAAGTATGAACAGGTTCCTACAAAATGTAAAATTGGTTTGGAAAGAGGTAAAAAATTGATTTTGCAAAGTCAAACACTCAATCTGCTGATTTTAATATATTCTTTACATATTGCTATGAAGTCATGTCTTCAACAATCCTTTGAAAATCACATATTGAAAGACAGAGGCGTACATATCAAAGTCAGGGGCATTGCCTCGGTTCCATTACAAACTTAACTCAGGAACTAAAATGCCTGCCAGACTCACTCAGATAGGTGGTGAGATTTCATTAAAAAATCGTCTCTGCCATCCACAAAAAAGAGAGGATTCCCTTAATGGAATTGGAAATTGAAATGAAGGTTTGTGTGAATTTCGTTTAATATTTGGGTTGAGATTCAGGTCATTCCTGATTTTCTCCACCAGGTTTTAATAAAACCTGAAAACTTATTCATAGGTGTGAAGGAAACAATTCCTTTTTAAACTTTTTTTGTTTAATTTTTAAGAAAGGATAAAATGCGATCATTTTCCATTTTTATAATATCACCGAATGAGACAGAAAGCATTATCTGGAATGTGGAATACAAGCTTGAAAAGTCTAGGTTGGTCCTCACGACTTTTCTTATGATTAATATTAAATGCTAATAGTAACATTTTGCACAGCTCCCTTGCATTTGGAGTGGCAAAGGACTTACACATTTCCTTCTTTATCTTTTAAAAACTAATTCACAGGGCAGAGGCTGATCAGATGGGTATTATTATCTCCACATTTCATAGATGAATAATTGAGAGGTATGGAGAGCAAAGCCATTTGTAAAGTCTCACGACCATTTAGTAGCACACAAAACCAAATATCATTCCGATAAGCTCCAGAGCAGCATTTTCCAACACCCTTTTGGGCCCCCTTCCACCTCCTTCCAACAGGATTTCTTAAATGTATTTTTTTGTCCTTGAGGATTTAAATCAGCATTTCAAAGTGATACTGGCTAAGTCTTACAAATAATGCTGTTATAATGGGAAAAATAGAATTTTTTTAAATAAAAGACTTTTTCAATGGGGAAAAAAAAAGGTATGTATACATATGGGAGTATGGGAGTCTTCACCCATAGGCAGTGCTCAAACTCATAGCTTAAGAACATTTATATCAAAAGTCTGAAGTATGTAATATGTAAATTCCTTTGGTTTATCAAGTTAATATTAAGGCATTTCAGATTCCCCTAAAAGGATTTACTGTTTTTTTTTAATTATATTCATATTTTACCTATAATGAAGTAGAAAGTTAAAAATAAGAGTTGAAAAAAAAACATGCATAATCACTGCAATTTCATGAAAGCGCTTTTTTTTTTGGTAACCAATTAACTTTCCAATAAGTAATAAAAAAGAGTTAATATCACCATAGGGCATTTACAATAAGGAACAGTACTACAGGCATATAACTTGATATAGGGTGGACACTGGAGATGGCTGATGTGGATCCTCTTGCATCCATATCTGTCAAAGATGACAAAGAGCTCATTAATATGGAAGGACCCATATGCAATCAGGGTGCTAGAGACTCAATGTTGGTGTCCTCCCCCAAAGTCATATATGTCGAAATCCTAATGCCCGGTGTGACAGTATTAGAAGGTGGAACCTTTGAGAGGTAACACAGAATCTGCTGGTACCTTGATCTCAGGCTTCCCAGCCTCCAGAACTCTGAGAAATAGATTCCTTTTGTTTATAAGCCACCTGCTCTGTGGAGTTTTGTCATAGCAGCCTGAAAGGATGAAGACACAGGGCAAAAGCAATAGCTCTCCCACCCAGATCGCGTCATGGCATGACCCTACCCTGGTATCACAATTTGTTATTAGCCTTCATTTTATTCATCAGTGTAGCATATACTAGTTGCCAAGAGTATCTATACAAACACTAATGTGTTTGAGTTTTCTTAAATGATTCCAGGCTTTGTTTACCTACTATTATTTAACTTTAATTGAAACTGGGGAAAAAAAAAAAAAAACAACTTCATCATTTTGAAAACAATTATACTTGATCACAAACAATTCTGAGATAATTCGATGGTTTAATTAAAGCAAGCTTCATTGGGTAAGGATTTGGAAAGCCTGTGCTTGCTTCTATTTTATGCATTTCCAGATAAATTATTACATACAATAAAAAGTATCATCTAAAGAAAAGCAATCGATAAAAGCTCCATTTTCATAGAGACAGCCTTGTGCAGTCACTAGTCTATGCAAGCTCAGCAAGACAGCAGACGCCAGATTGAAAAGGCTACTTTTGACTCAGCAGCCCTAAAAGGCTAAAAAATAGTGTCTATCCCTGCAAAAGCATAGAACCTATTTCTTTTAACAGTGCCTCTTTGTCCATATTATAATGTTAACTCTATACGTTGCTCTATTCAGGGAACAAGAAGCATGGGCTAATACTTTTAAAATCTAAATTAATCGTGATAAACTAAGCTTAATTCCTGGATGGAGGTGCACACAGTTTTAGAAATGTCTTTAGTCTCAGAAGGTTTTTATACTGGAAAACTTCAGTTCTAAGTAGTTCCTGTTTTCTTAGTACAGCTTAGTTTGTTTTAATCTAAGTATAGCTGTCTTCATGATTCCATAGAAAGATAAAATTCCTCCAAGTTTTCATAGCTCCCTTTCTTTTCAGTGGGTAATGTCAGTTATTTTGTTTTCCAAGATTAAAGACAAAAGTTTCAATCTTGATTGCCCAATACTGTAGAGAGGCTGGTCTTGATGAATGGAAACTAGGAATAAAGTTATTTATGTCACTATGAACCACAGAATAGAATATGAAGACAAAACAGGTTCTGTAGTACTTAAATTGAGGCCAGAAATCCCCAGACCTAGGATTTAAAAGTGAAGATAAAATTTCTTCTACTATTGGTATTCATAAAATATATATGCCAAAGTCTGTTTCCCTTAACTCTAAAACTGTAATTTCTATAGTAAAATAGGTTTCATTTGGATTTTGAAAGGACAAGTTAGAGTGAACTTTCTTTGAAGTTAACACTTTTTTTAAAAAAAAAAAAAGTATCTTTGGTTTGGCACCTATAAGTGGTTTATGACCTCACCAATGTTAATTTTTCTATTTAAAAATTGATAAGACTTATCTATAATTTGTAGGAGGCAAACGACTGGCATAGCAAGGATCTTAAAAACACTGTGTGGGTTCAACATTGCCCTTGAGAAATTCTTAGGGAATGCTTCTTTTATAGGCAATTCAAAGGCAAATGTAGGCATGGCTCAGAATGAGGGGAAAAATATCAAATTAATGAAGTTTTGCTAAATATTCTTTGACATCTTTTCCTTCTGTCTTCATTTCTCTCCCTATTTTGCACCACTCTTGAGGAGTTCCAGCTGTGATCACCTCTGATATTCCAAAACTTCAGCATTTGGATTAAAGGCATGCAGGGAAGAAAGAGTGGACAGAGGGACCCTGATGGGCTCACCATTGGAGGGTAGGAACACTGATGTAAAATAAATAAAGGAAACAATGACTTCAGCCAACTTACTGGTGATTCGTGGAATCCTGATCTGTTCACTACTCGTCCCATCCCCTCCATCTGTTGTGGCCTTGACTTCAATAATGTAGTCCTCTTTAATGGGCAGCAACAGTTCAGCTGAAGTTTTATTTGTGTTCAGAACTTGCACATTATTTTGACTGCTAGTCCTATAGAAAACCTAAAAGGCATGAACAGATAACACTTATGTCTTATATTGCCTGCTCCTATTTTTTTCGTAGAACTTGTCACTCTGAAACCACATTATTTTGTTTGTCTTTCTATGCTCACTAGAATATAAATTGCATTCACAGCTCTATCAATAGGTTTTAGATTAGGGATTAGAACATAGTAGAATCGTACAGTTGTCAAAATCAAAACGGTGGGGGAAGATTGAACTCCTTCCATGAAAGAGCTCAGGTGGATTGGGTATTGGTGAGGCTGGAGAGAGGCAAGGCAATGCCATGCAGTTTGCATCTTGAATGCCTGATCAAGGAATCAGAGACAATATTTTTTAAGTAGTACGTGGATGGGCATCAAAAAGTAGCAAACTGATTAACACACAATTTATAATATTGTGTCCAAAATTCCCACATGAGCAAAATTACTTAACTTAAATCTATATTTAAAACATAAAAGCTATTTTGTAAAAATATCTATTTTATATAAAGCTTGATATCTATATCAGAATTAGATTACAGAAACCATATCATCAACATTTAGAAACATTCATGTAAGCTGAGAGCTTCCCTTGGGAAGTACTGCCAAGAGTAGGAAAATAAAGCACTGCAAATGATACAACTTACTTTATATCCTGTTACTTCTGATTCATTCTCCATGGCTTTAACTTGCTCCCAATTAAGTAACACTTTAGTGTCTGTGGCATTCCAAACAACATTTCCCGGTGGCTGACTGGGAGCTTGAAATGCAAAATGAGAAATGAACACAGATTTGAGCATGGAGTGCTATGTTACACAGAGGAGATTCATGACTTTCATAGGAGGCTAACGGGGGGTGGGGGAGTGTCTCTTTGGTAATGTATGGTGTATTGATGGAATCAGAAAAACTAAGAATAGCCAAATTTCCTTTTTAAAAGGCATTTCACTTAAACTGTGAGATCATTCATTTGATCATACTCATCACATAGTTTAGGGCATTTCACACCTTAGTGCACTATATCAACCAGAAAACACATTGATAGTGGAGATAAGGAAACCCCTTTATCCACCACCAGAGGACCACTTGGTGATGAGCAGAGAGACCTGTTGTGTGACAAACACAGAGCCTGAGAAATTGCCAAAGGAGCAGATTATAGTCACACGAAATGAAGTGTGGATGATTTTTGAGCCAGCCTTGTATGATGAGATGGGCAAAACTGGGAGCAATCAAAAATAAGAATTACTTAGATGTATTCCCATAAAGTAATAGCTACACACATGAGAAATGGCAATGGAGAGTCTATATTTTCAAGTCTTCGTTTTTCCAAGTTCAAATCAATTTTTGAGAAAAATAAGGCAGAACACCAAAAAGTTAATGAGAATTCCATTAGAGAATTAATGAAACTCTCTGAGGTTTATAAACATGGATTCATAGTTCAGTCTCTTCTCAGGAACACTGGATAGTAAACGCATGCTGGGTGTGGGGGTGGGAGGTGGTCAGTAGCATTTGTCAATAGCAATACAGACAGGGCACTGAAAATTCAGTGTCTTGTCAATCACAGAACAACACACATAATGTTTTTCATTGAGCAATGGCACCACAAATGCCCCAAATAGTGCTGAAATACGTTGTACTTGTGGATTTAAACCACAGAATCTGATTTGATTAACTGAATTTGTAATGGGAAAATGATATAAAAGATTGGCTATGCACAGAATTTTCTAAACATTAATTCATACCATAAGTGAAATACAGCTGGACTTACAGATGGGAAGAGCTCAAATACCTTCCTATCTAATGCCACCACCAAACAAGACTGCATTCCCCGTGGATTCTTGTGTTTACTGTCTCCTTTTAACACTATTCTATGTTGCTTCAAAATGTTGTGATCTGGTATTAACAATGAGCTTAGGTCAGCTAAGAATGCCCAAGCTGCAATGCTTTGATAACAAACATAAATAAATAATAGCAGTGGCTTAGAGGTGAAATACTAATGACCATGTTCAGGTTGCTCAGTCGAAATGATATGAATGCACAATTGTTGGAACATATTCCCAAATTCTGTTATTCCCTGTGGCCTGACAGCACTATAAAAAAGACAAGTTCAATTTGATGCAGCTAAGATATATTTCATCATGGTTTGTCCTACCTCAAGATGAATGCTTGGATGTTATAGAAAGTTTGAGTAATTTTGGTTGAATTACCTATTCTAACACCGGCCTTGAGAGAGAAATGACTGCAAATATAACGCTGGGGTTTATCCTGGTTAAGTCCCAAAATAGATGAGTTGAATGAGTTCAGCCTGAAATAAATACTTTTGAAATGACAACAAGAAAAAAATAAAAAAATTTAAAAAAAGGAAAAGGGAAAGTAAGGGAAAAATAAAAGGTTGGTCCTCTGCCTGTCTGATCTTTTTGAACATAGTGTTTCCTGAGCATCAGATACTCATGCAGCATTTTTGTCATTTTTGCTATTTTTAAAAAATTGACTCAATCTAAAAAATATGTAAACGTCTATTTTAGCCTTATCTCAGTAATATTTACACAATAATGAGCTTGATATACTAGTTATATTTTTGGGATATTCTCTAAAATAAATAAAGCTAATGCTTCATTTCAAAATTTTAAAAATGTTTGTGAACCACCTAAAATAAAATCATGTCTCTTACTACCACTCATACGAATAACAACATCTGTGAAATTCTAGACCTTACAAACTCTCTTCCATGTTTAAAATTTTATTATTGTATGACTATGCTTAGTAAACATCTATAATGTGTCAGGAATTTCAGAATGCTCTTGATGCAATGTAATTTACTTAATCCTCATTACATTGCATTGCAACAATACCCATTTCAGTACATAGGTCATTTGTACTCAGAGAGTTCAGAAAAATAAAAAAGGTTATATACCCATGTTCATAGCAGCATGATTCATAATACCCAAAATGTGGAAGCAACTCAACTGTCTATTAACAGATGAATGGATAGACACAATATAGTGCATATGTACAATGGAATATTATCCAGCCTTAAAAAGGAATGGCATTCTGAAACATGCTATGACATCAATGAATGTTGAGATGTGCTACATGAAATAAGGTTGTCACCAAAAGGCACAAATAGTGTATGATTCCTCTAATATGAGATATTTAGAGTAGTCCCATTCACAGAGACAGACGGTCGAATGGTGGCTGTCAGAGGCTGGGAAAGGAGAATATGGGAATTGTTTGATGGATACAGGGTTTCAGTTCTGCCAGATGAAGGAAATTCTAGAGATCTGCACGGCAGTGTGATTGTATATAACACTAATGGGCTGAGTGTTTAAAAATGGTGAAGGTGGTAAATTTTATGTTATGTGTATATTACCATAATTTAAAATTTACAAAAACTTGCTAAGATACACAACCAGTGAGATGTATTATGTGGATTCAAACCAGCTCTGTTTAATTTCTCTGTTCCTTGGGAAGATAAGCTTTTTTATTCTTTTTTTTTTTTTTTTTTGCCTCTCACTGATGTTAAGCTTGGGCACGGTTCTTATGGTTCCCTGTCTATAGAAACACATCTTTTCTCCTTCTTACTGGCATCTCATAGACATGAGGCTTCATCATAGGAGTTTCTTCAAGCAATGGAATAGGAGCAAAAGGGAAATGGTCCACTTCCAAGTGGCAGCTTTAAAACCACTGAAGAACGTGGTTTGCTTTTCTCGTCTTTCCCTCTGTCACGAGATCAACATGTCCCAGAGCTTGGCTTTTCCTTGAAGTCTGGGTCCTGGACTGAAGACGGAATGCATCAGATCTGACTCTTACTCGTGATGGATGAGTAAGAAAGAAACATTTGTAGTTTTATGCCACTGAGATTTGGGGATTTGCGGGGCTCCAACCTAGACTAGCCTAATCTGACTGATACAGCTGTTAAGCAGTACTTAAATGACTTTGAAGAAATACAACGAGCTTTGTAAAAGTATACAGCCATGCAGTGAAGTGGGAATGGGCAAGAAATACTTGATAGCTTATCTTTTCTTTTTTTGTTGCTGCTGTGATTGCCTTTGGGGTCTTCTTCATAAATTCTTTGCCTAGGCCAATGCCTAGAAGAGTATTTCCAACATTTTCCTCTAGAATTCTAAAAGTTTCACACCTAATGGTCAAGTCTGTTACCCAGCGTGAGTTGATTTTTGTGAGAGGTATCTTTTCCAACACTTCTAATTTTACCTTTTATATTCTAACTTGTGTGGAAGTGTAAACCAAGAATATGTTGACTAAGTTCCAACCTTTATCAGATCTAACTTGATATGAGGTCCACATTTTGAAATTTTTTGTCAACATTTGTCAACATTCATATCCTACGGATTTTTTCCCTGTCGACTCAATTTCTATTGTTGATAGCATGCTAACATAGGAAAAAAATGATAAAAACGAATTCAACTCTAATAAGAAGGTGTAATATCACTCGATTTATAGCACAATGCTAGTTGACAGGCTATAAAATTTTTTAAAATAATGTCAAAGGCTATATAACAAAATAATATTATCTTGAAAAATGTTTATTGTTTATTGCTCCTTATAATCCTCTGTGCATTTGATTTTTAGACTCCTTGACATCAGCTTTATACATTTTGCTTTTTAAAGTGATTACTGTCATATTACTGTGATTAGATGAAGCTGGGAAGCAGGAAATGTAAGACATGTCCACCAACAGGAAAACGGCTAAATAAATTGTGGTGTTTATCGCAACGGAATATTATACACATATAGTTATGATACAGTATGGCGGGTAACTAACTATACAGAATAATCTCCACTGTATAGGACAAACATTCCATAGAACATAAATCTAGAAAGAAAGACAAAGGATATTAATAAAGATACAAGAGATAGGATTATGGGTGATTTTAATTTTCTTCTCTACGATTCTGTTTTTCCCCAAATTTTCTACAATGACTATGTTTTCCTTTATATAATATAAAAGTGGAGGTTGTTAAAATAAAGAATATCATTTTCCAGAGTTTTCAATGGTGATGTTTCCATCTATACACTGGTTACAGCGAAGCTGGCATTTGCTTTCAAAATATGAAATTTTAAAAACATATCTTTGCTGTGTGATTAATTATACAAAACTCAGTGTGTTTCTCGACTCTTTTTTCCCTTGGCCACCTGATGGTAATAAGATGACTTACATGATAAACGGTTGTTATCACCGGTAGCTAAAAAAGGTACACTTTGCACTTGGGCTTCACTTAAGATGATCATTAACATGTGTAATTAAGCTGCCTAAACACGTGGCATTGTGCAAAAGCCCATTAACCAAAAGCCACTTTCTCCCCAATAATGAGATGTATTTGTCTTAGAATCATTGGAACTGTTATTGTATATAATTTCTTATCATAAGAAATTGACTCAATATTTTAAAACACAACAAAAACATCTACTTTTCAACTCATCTGAAATTCAGAAAACGCTGGCCTTACGGTCCAACCTAGAACACCAGGAAAGGTCTATCTTTGACTTTTGGTTTTCAATGTCTGCAAATTTCCTTGAACGAAAATTTCTCCTTCTTTGGATAATAAAAATATTTGAGATTGTAAGCTATAAGCAGAACATTTACAACTGTCTAGAGGATTCATAGGCAAGTGGGGCAGATTTTCAAAAAAGTACCAAAGCTCTTACAAAATAAGTTCATAAGATTTGTACATTTGGCCAGAGAACTTACTTGATTCTGTATTAGCTAAAACTTCCATTTTAAATCTGGTAAAGATATTGTTA